AAACAAAAACCCAGAACTACAATCATAGGATAGATATTAATTCTGATCTTATGAGCCACGAATGAGAATGGACAGAGAGTCCTGGTGGGGACTTAAAAGGAGAAACTAAAAAAGGTTGATGGTGCTTGCTGCATTAAATTAATTTAAAAATGTAAATACTTATTAAGCAAGTGTAGTTGTTTGTACTGATGTTTAGTTTTCAGTTTCTAATAAAACATTTAATTTTAGAAAAAAGAATCTATGGAATGTGTGGACCTAGAACCTCAGCTTTTCCTCTCCTTGAATCAGGACAAGCACTTAAAGATTGGCCCTGGTTCATATCAGGCCAGGAGAATTTCTTTCAAGGGATAGAAGAGGAACAAAAACTCAGCTGTTTCTTTCTCTTTTTTTGAGACAGAATCATGGTAATGATAAGAAATGTTGGTCAAGGAAAACCAGAGACAGCCAAGGAGAAAAGCAGGGGAGGTGGGCTTCTCTCCAGCAGGCTCAGGCTGGCTTCCTGAGAGAGATCCTTCTACTGAACAGTGTCCAGGGCCCCGGGATAAAATTGGAAAATCCCTTGAGAGGATATTTCTTTCAAATTCAGGAAACTGCATATTCCCTGGGGGGAAAATCTCGTGCCAACTCATCAGCCTCACCACCCATGAAACTTCACCACAGGCTGACTCTCGTTCTCCAGTGGGAAAAACCCAAGCCCCTTTGCTCCTGTCATTTAAGGCATTTGCTTTGTCTAGAACACTCTGCACTGAGCTGTCCTAGCTCAATGCTTGTCTCTATCTCTCATGTTTGTGACTTGGGTGTGTGCCCGATGTATCCTGTATCCTAGCACTCAAGCAAAGGACTGAGCACAGGAAATCATTCTCATGGTACAGTGACAGTTTGGTGTCTGGCTCTCTGCTTGGGAGGTGGGTGGGTAAAGACCCGTCCTTCTCATACCTCTATCCAAAGGCCAGGTCTTTCTTCCCTCCTGAAGCAAAACTTAGGGAAGGAGTGGATATTAGTGAGCATTTATATAGCACTCCAACCCACCCCCCAACATAATCCTGTGTGAAGTTTGGCAGTACAAATATTTTTATCCCCAATTTAAAGATAGAGAAAACTGAGACCCAGAGATATTTAGTGACTTGCTCATGGTCATAATAAGCTGCACTCAGGACTAGAATCCAGATCATTAAATGTAGATTTAGATTCAGATGAGATTTTAGTCTAGTCAAGCACCCTGATTTTACAGATAAAGAAACTGAGGTCCAGTTGCACAGGTGAATAGGCAAAAGTGATCAGTAAATAGCCAAGTTTCGTTTTGAAACAAGGTCATCTGACTCCAAATTCTGTTTCCTTTCCACCACAATTATAGAAAAAATTTTGGTAAAGTCTGGGTGGTAAAGGGAGTAGAAGAATTGGCTAAAATATTTGTTTTTAAATGAACAGGAGCTGGATAAATTAAAATTTTTTTTTAATATTCTTTTTTTTTTAAATTTTGAGTTCCAAATTCTCTCCCTCCCTCCCACTTCTCCCCTACTCATTGAGACACTAAGCAATGTATCAATTAAACATGTGAAATCATGCAAAACACATTTCCATATTAGCCATGTTACAAAAAAAAGGCCAAGAAAAATAAAGTAAAAAAAAATTTATGCTTCAATTTGCACTTAGAGTTCCTGATAAATGTTGTCTTCTGTATGTAGAATACTATGCTAGCCTTGGGGAGAGAGAAACCCGAAGTTTACTCCATGACTAAAGATTCACAGAATCACAGAATTTGTGAGTTGGAAGGTATTTCGGCAGCCAACCAATCCAACCCATCCCTAAAAGGAAGTCCTACTCTAACATATCATTAAGGTGGTCATCTACCCTGGAAGCTCACTACCTCTAAAGGCAGTCCAGTGAACTTTTGGATGGCTCTAATTGTTAGGAAGTTTATTTGTTTGTTGTTGTTGTTGCTTTTCTGACACCAAGCCTAAGTTGGCCTTTCTTGTGATGTCCACCCATTGATCTTGGTTTTGACTCTAAGACTAACAGAGCAAGCCCAATCCTGCTTTTACATGACAGCCTTTCAAATACTTGGCAATAGCCATCATGCTCTTCTAGAATCTTCTCTTCTCCACATTAAACATCCACAGATGACACATACTGACTGTGTGACCCTGGAAAAATTTACTTCTCAGGGCTCTCTCAAACAGGGCTTCATGTTCAACTACAGCCATATTTAAATGAGGCTGGGAAATATTTAACAAAATAAATAAAAATACAATATCCTTTTACACACACACACAGTTTAGTGGGCCCTCTGTTGAGTTTGACACCACTGCTCTAGGTAACTCTCTGAGACTCTAAATTGCAGAGAAGGCACTGATCTGTAGTGGTAGGAGTTTCCTCACCTGGAAATTCCCTATATCAGCAGTTCCCAAACTTTTTAGTCTCAGAACTCTTTTTTACTCTTAAAATTATCAAAGACCTCAAACCGATTTTTTTTATGTGGGTTATTTAAATAATATCTTAGTATTATGAAAATAGTTTTGACCTCGAGGACCCCGGAGAGACTCTGAGAGTCCTTAGACCACTTAGACTAGGCCCTATGCCAATGAAATCCCAGGTCCCTTGTATCTCCTGTGCTTAGCACAGTGCCTGGTACATAGTAAGCATTTAATATGTTTGTTAACAGACAAAAAAAAAAAAAAAAGAGTGCTCTGAGAAACTTTGTCAGGTTCTGCCTCCCAGCCCACATCCTGCCCCCTGACCCACTTCAGCTAGCCACAAGTCCCACCCTACTGCTTCCAGCTGAGTTCTCAGGCTGAGCTCACTCTCAATGGAAAGGGCTGGTAGGATTGTTAAAGCAGGGTCAAAGAAGATGTGAGATAACAAGTCTGGACATCCCAAAGCCTTCCCTTCTACTAGACCCTGAAGCCTCCACAAATGATTTTCCACAGCCTCTAGTGATTTTCCAAGAGTGAATCTGCTCTCCCCTGGACTGCACAAGCTCCTTAGGTACTGAGACTAGAACCACTTTAGCATGTTAACTCATAACCCCCAATCTCAATTGTTTATCTTCTGTGAGGTTTGGATGGGACAAAGGAACAAAGAAGAGAAAAATCAAGAAACCACAACCTGCAGCCCACAGATTTTTGAGCTGGAAGAAACTTGCTTAACATCACATAGTAATCACACAAACATCATACGTAAATGTCAGAAGCAGGATTTGAATCCAGGTCTTTTTGATTCCAAGAAGCGTTTAACATCACCAGAGAAGAGGTTGAATGGCCTAATATAGACCTATGCAAAAGACATTTCAAAAACAAATTGCTTTATGCAGATGGATGGGAACAGGGGATTAGCACAGGGCCAAAGGAGAGATGCTTCGTTCTTTCATCATCCTGGGTATTTCTTATGTCACAGGAAGGGCACAGGGAGTAGCAGAAACATGCCCAGTGCTGACTTACTGCCTTATTTTCTAGGTACCTGCCTAACTAAGCACAAGAGTAAATTTTACAGGCTTAATCCTTACCTTTTGAGACCTTCTGATCTAAGCTCTCATGTCTACTTCGCTATCCCCTTTAGGGCCAGAATCTCAGGATCAGAAAAAGGGACACTTCCAGGTGTCTCATCGAATCCTCCCCCTTGGCCGGTGGGGGTGGGGCAGGGGTGGGGCAGGGGTGGGGCTGAGGTGATCTGAGGTGTGGCAAGTCACTTAACCTTTTCTGGGCCCCAGTTTCTTCTTTCGTAATATAAGGGAGTTGTACCAGATCATCAGTTCTCAACCTTTTGGGTCTCAGGACTCCTTTGCTGAGAAGAGCTTCTGTTTAGGTGGATCATAACTATTGACATTCACTCTATTTAAAATTAAGATCCCTTTACATTCAATGATTGAGAAGATCTTTTGTTTAGGTAGGGTCAAATCTATTGATATTTACTTTATTTAAAATTAGGACCCCCTTTAACTTCTTAAAAGTAATTGGGAACAGCTTCTGTTTTTTGGGGGGGGTTCATATCTAGCGACATTGACCCTAATTGAAATTAGGACCCCTTTATACTCTTAAAAATAATTGAAAAGAGTTTCTGTTTAGGTGGGTCATATCTATCGATATTGATCTTAATCAAAATTAGGATCCTTTTACATTCTTAAAATTTAGGTGGGTCATACCTATCAGTATTTACCCTAATTGAAATTAGGACCCCTTTATAATCTTAAAAATGATTGAGAAGAGCATTTGTTTGAGTAAGAGATATCTATCAGTATTGAACCTAATTGAAATGAAAACACCTGAGTGTTATGACAATAATTTTGACCTCAGGGTTGTCCTGAAAGGGTCTCTCTCGGGGAGCCCCAGGGCTTCCTGGACCACACTTTGACTAGATGGTCACTTTCCAGTTCAAAATCTACCAAAGCCCCTCTGCTGGTAGTGGTTCCGTAATCTGTAAAATGGAGAAATTGGATTGGACGGTTTTTAAGGTCTTTTCCAGCTCTGAAACTTTATGAACCACCAGGACCTTTAGGGTCTAACCACCTCATCCATTCGTCAAAGGAGATTATCTCTGGAAAGTGCTTTGCCAACTTTGCCCTAGATAATATCTTGTTCCTTTCTGGAAGGGCCAGAGAGGGCATCGTTTGGGGAGTCTGAGGACCTGGGTTCGAATCCCAATTTGAGTTGGGGGTGGGAACTTGGATATGAATTCTGCTTCTGCCATATCTACCCCTCACAGGCCTGGATTTCAGGGTTAGGAAAAAGGACCTTATAGATTTCTCCCCCTTCCCCTTAGGCAAACTTGGCGGGTGGGGGTGGGATTGGGGGGAAGTAAGTCATTGCCCTCCCTGGGCCTCAGTGTCCTCACATGTAAAATGATGAAGGAGGAGGAGGGGAGGTGTTAAGATAAGGCCCCTTCTAGCCCCAAATATGTGAAAAATAGTCAAAGATAATGGAGCAGGTGAAAGGTCAGGGCCCGGTGAAGGGGGGTGTCCCTCCTGCCCCCCCGGGCAGATGTGGAGGAGTCCTCGCCCCACGTACCTTCTCTTGGGCCCGGCTGAACTTCTTCTGCATCTGCTTGGCCAGGAGGCCCGCACTGCTGCCCGAGCGCTCGGCCATCTTTATCCCATCCGGCGCTGACCACCCTCTCCTGTCCTCGTCTGACCGTGGGCCCCCGGGAGTAGCCTCTGTCACCCTGTGGTTTTCCTCCAGAGCTGCCTGATAAGGAAGTGGCCGGCTCCCAGCATGCCTTGCATCCTGTAAGGGGGGGGCGGCTCCTGCTCTCCTCCCTAATTACCCCCCCCCCTCGGTGGAAACAGGACCCTGGGCCCAGACCTGCCCCCGCAAGAGTTCACCCTGGGGCGGGGCTGGCCCACCAGAGGGTGGGGGTGGGGAAGGATGGGCTCCTGCTCCCCTCCCCAAATAATCACAACCCCCCCCAACACTCCCCTCCCCCTAGGAAAAGAGGGATCTTAGGCCCAGACCGGGCCCACACCTGGCCACCCCAAGGATTCATCCTAGGAATGAGGGTGGTCCCACCAGACCTTTTACCCAGAGGATGAGGATGGGGAAGGGTGGGCTCCTGCTCCCCTCCCCAAATAATCACAGCCCCCCCAAAACACACACCCTGGAAAAGAGGGATCTTAAGCCCAAACCAGGCGCAGACCTGGCCACCCCAAATATTCACCCTGGGGGTTGGGGTGAGAAGGGTCTTCTGGGCCCAAACCAGGCCCAGACCTGCCATCCCCAAATATTCACTCCAAAGGTGGGGGTGGGGAGGGTCTTCCGGACCCAAACCAGGCCCAGACCTGGCCACCCCAAACATTCACCCTGGGATGGAACTGGGACCATCAGACTTTCACCCAGAGCTGTAGGCTGGGGGTACAGGTCGGATGAGGAGGGGTCAGGCTCCTGACTCAGGGCCAATAAGAGTTCCTCTTTTAAGTCTTCTCTCCCCCACCCCTGCCCCCCCCAAGGAGAAGGAAGCATCTGTGACCCCTTTCCAGCTCAGGCCTTCTCCTGGTTGCTGGGGAAAAGTTCTGAGGAGCAGCTTTGAAGGGAAATCCTAAATAAAAACCCCATCTTCTAGGAACAAGGGATATAACACCTCTAAATGCATACTCTCTTATCTTCCTCTAGGATAGATAGACCTGCACGACTTAGCAGTAGGTAGGGGCCAAAATTAAAATAGGCTAAACTTCTTTGGGCCGCAGATAGGTCAGACTAGAGACAGACTGCGGGTTATATAACAAACAGGAGGGTGTCCAGTGGCAACCCTACATTTTCCAGGGCCCCCCGGGAAAATCCTTTAGCTGGCTGTGGACTGTATATTGTGCAGGCCCGATCCCCCTTAATGCAAGTGCCTTCTCTCTTTGGATTATCTCTAGTTTAACCTGTCTGTCTCATTTGGCCATAGGTTTTGCATTGTTGCCTTCTCCATTTGACTGTGAGCTCTGGGAGAGCAATTTTCACTTTTCTTTGTATCTCCAGTTCATAGTTTATCTTTTTTCACACCTTATTCCCCTACCTCATCTTCTGCTATCCAGGCACCTAATCTCCCAACTCTGGGGCATTTTCCATTGGCTGAAACATCCCCAAGCCTAGATGGAGCTCCCTCCTCATCTCCATCTTCTGGCTTCCCTGGCTTCCTTTAGTTCTCTGTCCAAGCCCGAACTGAACCCTTCCTCAATTCCAGTAGAATAGAACATGCTCCTTGAGGGAGTGTCTATTTATTTCTTTGTTTGTGTGTACTAATATCTCAGGACCTAGCACAGTGCGTAGCAACCACTAGTAAACCACCAATAAATACTTGTTTAATTGATAACCTGGCCAGAAGGAGGTTGTCGCAGTTGGCTAGGCTTGAGGTGATGAGGCCCCAGATTAGGATCATAGCTATGGAGACTGAAAGGAAGAATCAGAGCAGAGAGGAAAAATATATAAGGACTTAGTGTCTTAGAGAAGGGGATGGGGTATTGGTACCTAAGGTTGAGACACTAAGGTTGGTTAAATTAGGAATAGGAGATGGGGTACAAAGAATGCCCTTTGGCCAAGGTCAAGCTATTCCCAGGGAGGGACTGCACAGAGACACTCTGGGAAATCTGAGGGACTTGCCTGCAGCCCAGCTGTTGCCTCAGCCCACCATTATCCACGACCCTCCCCTCAGGGTACCTTTTCTCAGTCAGTGGCTCTGAGTGCCCGAATCTTGAGGATAACTTCTAGTTGTCATCTAAATGCATTTCTTAATTTAGGCTACTAGTGACAGGGTAGCCCAGTAATGAGAGGACTGGTCAAAGTTTGATTTTTTTATTATTGCAATGGGAACCTTAGTTCCTCCCCCTTGTCCTGTCTTCAGAGTAAGTAGACAAATGCTCCTTCTTGTTCCTTAGGCATCCACTCTTCAGAAGCATAAAGAATCAATCAATCGACAAACCAACAAGCATTTATTAAGCACCTACTAAGTGCCAGGCACTGTGCTAGGTCCTGGGACATAAACACAAAAATAAGAACTTATAATTTAGAAAGGTGAGATAGTATGTACACATATATGTACATACATATATAGGCATATACAAAACAGAGACAAATACAAGATAATTTTATGGGGAAGGCACTAGCCTGTGTGGAGGTGGCGGGGGAGGGGAAGAGATCAGTAAAGACTTCAAGTAGAAGACAGTACTTGAGCTGCGCCTTGAAACCCTGAGATTATCTCCAATTTATCCTGTATATATTTTGTTTCTACATAGTTGTTTGCATGTTATATCCCTCATTACACTGAGAGCTCCTTCAGAGCGAGGACAGTGGGTTTTTTTGTTTTCGTTTTTGTCCTTCTTGGTATCTGGAGTGCTTACGGTAGTGCCTGGCACATAGTAGGTGCTTAATAAATGCTCGTAGACTGGCCTTGAAAGAAGCTAAGGATTAAAGATGCAGAAGTCAGAAGAAAGTATGTTACAGGCCTGGATCATGGAGACCAGAGAGTTTGACAAGACTGTAATGTGTATGGAGGGGAGTAATGTGTTGTAAGACTGGAAAGGTAAAATGGGACAAGATTGTGAAGGGCTTTAAACGCTAACCAGAAGAGCTTATATTTGCTGTTGGAATTTCTTTTTCTTTCTTTTTTAAAAATATATTTACTTATATTTTATTTTTTCCTCCAATTACATGTAAAAACAATTTTAACATTTGTTTTTTAAAATTTTGAATTCCAAATTCTATCTCTCCTTTCCTCCCCTCCCCCCCATTGAGAAGGCAAGCAACTTGATAGAGATTATATGTGTACAATCATGCAAAACATATTTCCATATTAGTTATGTTACGAAGGAAGACACAGGAAAAAAAGCATGCTTCCATCTGCATTCAAACTCCATCAGTTCTTTCTCTGGAGTTAGATGGCACTTTTCATCAAAAGTCCTTTCAAATTGTCAAATAGATCATTGTATAGCTGAGAATAGTTAGGTCATTTGCAGTTGATCATTGTATAATATTATTGTTACTGTGTATAATGTTCTCCTGGTTCTGCCAATTTCAGTTTGCATCAGTTCATGTAAGTCTTTCTGGGTTTTTCTGAGAGTATGCTGCTTGTCATTCCTTACAGCACAATAGTATTCCATTACAATCATATACATTCACTGTATATACATATACAATCATTACAATCACAACTTGTTCAGCCATTCCCCGATGGATGGGTATCCCCTCAATTTCCAGTTCTTTGCCACCACAGAGCTGCTATAAATATTTATATACATATAGGTCCTTTTTCTTTTGGAATTTCTTGAGTCGGTGACATGGTCAGACCTACACATTAGGAAAAATAACTTTGCAGTTGTGTAGAGGATAGACTAGAATGGCAGAGCAAGACCACCTAGGAAGTTATTCCGAAAGTCCAGGAAAGAGATAATAAAGACCTGAACTGGTGTGGTGGCCGTGTGAGGGAAGAGATGAGAGACAGAGAGATGTTATAGAAGTATAAATGATAAGATGTGGCAAATGATTAGATAGGTGAGGTGAGGAAGAATATGCATGTCATGATGGTAGTCCTCTTGAGAGAAAGAGGGAAGTTTGGAAGAGTTAGGTTGGGAGAGGGGAAAGATACATAGTTCTGTTTTTTACCTATTGAATTTGATTTCCAGTTCAAAATGCCCAATAGGTATTTACGGAGCTGTATGATTGAAGCCTCAGGAGACAGACAGGCTTAGATAAGGCAGCTAGGTGGGCCAGTGAACAGCGGCGCTAGACTTGGAGTCAGGAAGACTTGAAATCAAATCTAGCCTCAGATTGTGTGACTTAACCTCAGTAGACCTCAGTTTCCTCATCTGTAAAATGGGGACAATAATAGCACCTACCTCCCAGGGTTGTCACCCAGATAAAATGAGGTAATGTTTGTAAAGTGCTTTGCAAAGTCACTGTATGAACGTTAGCTATTATAATTATTAGCTATATAGATTTGAGACACATCTGTTTAGAGATGATAACTAAATCCATGTGAGCTGATGTGATCACCAAGTAAGATGCTGTAAAAATAGAACAGGACCCAAGGCAGAGGCTTTGGTGTCACCCACAGTTAGGGGGGAGTCATGTGGATAATGATCTAGTAAAGGAGACAAATGTAATGGACAAACAGGTAAAAGGAGAACCAGAGAGAGCAGGGTCATGAAAGCCCAGATAGGAGACAGTATCAAGGAACGGAGTCAAAGGTTACAGGGAGGGCAAGAAGGACAAGGATTAGGAAAAGGCCTTTAGATTTGGCAATTTAGAGAACATTGGTAACTTTGGAGAAAGAAGTTTCAGTTGAATAAAGAAGTTAGGTATATGAATGTGATGGAATACTATTGTGCTATAAAAAATGATGAACAGGCTGACTTCAGAAAAACCTGGAAAGACTTGTATGGTCTGATGCTGAGTGAAGTGAGCAGAACCAAGAGAACATTGTATACAATAACAGCCACGTTGTGTGATGACTAATATTGATAAACTTAACCCTTCCTGGCAATGCAAAGATCTAAGACATCTCCAGAGGCCTTGTGATGGAAAATGCTATCCACACCCAAAGAAAGAACTATGGAAGCTGAATTGTTATTTTTTTTCTCTTCTGTTGAGTTTTGTTTCCTCTTTCTGATGGTTCCTCCTATTGGTTTTAATTTCTACTTACAACATCACTAATGTGAAAATATGTTTAATATGAATGTAAATGTGTGGCCTATATCAGATTACGCGCCATCTTGGA